CCATACGCCAAATTCATTATTTGTTTTCTACCACCATCCTAAACTAGTTGGTTATTCATTTCACAAACATGGCAACAGAAACACAGATCTGTTTGGAATTCCAAGCCCAAAATGAAGGCTACAAAAACTATTAGATTTCCCACACTCCTCTGGATCCCTTAGGAGAGGAAAATATTTCTACTGAGATTTCTATTTGGGATCCCCAAACAAGTTAATCCCACCAGGCCTATTACCCCTCTTATCCTTGGCCTATGTCCAAAATAAAGGCCCCTCTCAGAGTTTCTGTTCTCCTGTCTTGCTTGTTCAGTAGTATCTCTGTTTCTTTCCTGGGTCATTTTCATAGCGTCCCTTTTCCATGTTGCTACTTGGGAAAAAAAAATATATCTTCATCTTTAGATATGTAAATATCTGCATTGTCACTTGAGTGATATGGTAGTTCTAAAATTCAAAACTAAATATGCCATCCCACTACCTCAAACCTCTTCAAATGGACAGAGTCCAAATCTCATAAAAAGGCATCTAAGGGTCTTCTTAGTTTGTTTCTCCTGGTTTTATCCCCACATTGATCTCTAATCTCTGAGCCTGAGCACACATTGTTCCTTGTTCCTGAAAATGTGATTTAATTACTAGTTTTTCCTAATCCAACTGAAATGTATTTCCTCTTTAAAGCTGCCCCCACTCCCTCCTTTTTTAAATAAAACTCTGTTTTCATCTTTACAGTGAGCTGTCATAGATGATACCCATTACATTTTAAGTTTCTTTAAGGAGTAAGACTGTTCCTTGTTCATCTCTCACTCTAGAATCTAGTGAACTCCTACACATCCTTCAGTGCTCTGCTTGAGTGCTGTATCCTCTGACACCTCCTTCCAAAGTATCTTCTGCTTACTTGGGCACTTAATAGACACTATGTAACTGGTGAATGGATGGATAGATGCATGTAGATTTAGTGATTCTCTGAATATCACAGAATAACCTCAAAGTTAAGCTACAATTAGAATTAGTTCTTCTACCTTTGTTAGAAATACTTATTTTGTGTTTATAAAAGATCTGCTAAGTAAAAATGAACCTCCCAGATTAAGACCAAATAACATGGTGCAATTTACTTAAATATAACATGAAAAAGTTAATTTTTTCAAGCATTGTATTCCTAATTCTCACAAAGTGCCTGTTCAGCCCATATATGTCCATTATTTTAGAAAACGCTTTGCATAGAACTTTATTCCCTTATTTTTTATTTCACCAGGATCCAGTGTGCTGGCTCTTTGTCTTGCACATGTTACTTTGTTCCAAAGGTCTGAGATCTGTTTTCTTCCTTAAATAGCACTAGCATCATTTGGTTCAGCAGAAACAGTTGCCCAAGGCTAAGAAACTTCATCTAGCATGCTCAAAGTAGTCACCAGCTGGGATACACTATTCAGTGATAATACCTTATGACAACTGAGTGCTTTCTGTTTTTCAAATGCCACTGAAATCTTACACATCCCTCACAACTTGTTCAAGAGTTGTATCGCCTCACCCCTCTGGAGACATTAGATAACCTGCCTGTTCTCCAAGGTAACTAACTGGTGCTTACCTCAGTTGCATTACATTGTGTTCCTACTGTAGCTGTGCATCTCTGCCTTAATCTCTGTCACTAAGCTGTGTGCTCTTTAACGACAGGAATTAATCCTTGTTCATCACCTTTTGTACCTCCTGTACCTGATGCCATACTTGGTATGTACAGTGGTGGCACGAGTATCTAAGGCCAGGCTGTTATATCTTTTTCTGAAACAGTACTCCACAGAGTCCTTATAATTATTCTAACTTCTTGCACAATTTGATAGCAGTCAGTTAGAAAGAATTTAACTGTCTTCTAAAGTGCTATGGCCCCCCTTTTACGAAATGTCCTTCACTTTGCGGTGTGCATACTTTTACTCATTTGGCAGTAGTTCTACTTTATGTGTCTATTTCGTATATATTTTATATACAATGTGCAGCCTTAGATGAAACCTACCACTCAAGCCTATAACCTGACTCATGGCTTGGCAATTATTTCCTTATGCCTGTCACCTAAAATGGTGCCTGGCCTGTAAGCACTAGACAAGATATACTGCTTAAGTAAATAGTGCATACACAAGTACGGTGTTTATAGGTCCTTAACTATAGGTCACATTTTTTGGCTCCTGAGAAGATAGTGTGTCTCTGGTCTCAGGTTATTTGAATGTCAACCAGAAATAAAAAAGTATAAATCATTGGTATATTTTTCTATAAAAGGCAATGTTGGACTGAGATAAGATCTTTACATCTATGGAGTTGTGTAATCTAAAGGTCCTTATTAAGCAGCTGTAAAGAAGAGGATGCATCCTACCTAGTGAGGTTGGTTGATGTGATTGGGAGTTCTGTGTCATAAGGAACTTATCAGGCTCAATCTCAAAGCAAGAACACTCTGAAATGAACATAAAGTCATATATTTATTATGAACACCCAGGTTCCCTCCCTTTTGCCTTCCCGATATTTTCATCACAGTGTGTTTATTCTAAGCCACAGTCCAGACAACACAAGACAAATGTGGGAATTGTGATTTCCCCCTTAGGCCTGCTGACTCGGCTTCTTGCATGAAACCTTGCTTGTACTTTAAGTGCTGTTTATTTCCCGGAGTACGGTATCTTCCTTTGGAGTGAAGGCTGGGCCCTATTCTCTTTCTTTTTCTTTTTTTTTTTTTGTCTTTTTCGCTTTTACCGGTACCGGGGATCGAACTCACGACTGCCTGCTTGCAAGGCAGGCACTTATAACGCTGAGCTAAATCCCCAGCTCCCTGGGCCCTATTTTCTTAGCTTGAGAGCTTCCTGGGGCCGCAGAAAGACTTAGGTCCATAAAATTACTCTCTTTGTATGTATATGAGCACTGGAGAGGAAAAGCTAATGTTCTGGGTTAGAAAACTGGTCTACCATGAAGCAGTCATGAGCCTTGTATTCTTTATGTGGACAGAAGTAGCTGCAACCAATTAGTATAGTGATGGAAACCAAGGGCTAAGCTACTTGGTGTACATACAACTTAGCAATGAAAAGCTTTTTCAGAAAGTTATGGGAAGGCCATAAAAGGTCAATATACTCAGTAGTGAGGTAACTTCAGATCAGACTTTCACTTTGGATAATCACTTTGAGTGGATGATGGTCTTTTACCCATGACCAAATTTCTTCACAGCAAAAACTTGTTGTTGCTGGGATCACAATGTTTTATCCTTTCGGGTTTTTGATTGACTTTCAAAGAATCTGAAGTCAAACAGATATACTGCCCTTGGGGGCAAAAGATTGGGACATTATATTAAAGCTGTGGCCATTTGTGAAGTAGGATAGATGGAATGTGTGTTTTGTCACATTCCATTGTCCCCTCAGTGTTTGATGAAAACCTTTTTTTAATAGATGGTACTCCCCCTTCTTTACCCAGCACTCCCAAATAAAATGCTGAGGCACATACTTAGCTCTTTTAAAAATGTGTCCATATTAACTTTAGTTAAGGGGGGGAAAGAACACATGAGAACAAGTTGTTTTATTTTATGCCAGCTCAAATTCCTTGACCTCTAATTCTGGTGAGATGTACTCTTTTGGTGAAATGTGAGCATTTGCTAAATTGATCTGTTCCTGGTTTAGAAATATCAGATTTAAACTGCCCCTGTGCAGCTCTTCTCTTCAGACATGCCATGAACATCTTCCTTTAAAAAGTCAGTTTGGCTACAGAGAAACTGAGAGTAGACCAGAGACCTATGTTGATGGACTGTGGTTTGCAGGTTGAAAAGCAGCATTCAAACATCTGTGCGGTGTGCAAAAAGTTATTAAACTTCAGGAACTGAATTTCTGGGCTTAAATTTGAGGAAATTTGTGAGTATCTCATTGGGATGGATACAATAGGGAATAGTTATGCATACATAGTAAGAGTGAGCAGCTAGGACTCCAGAGAACAGAGACATTGTTTTACCAATACTCTGCTCACTTAGGTGTTAACTGTTTCCACTTTGTTCCATCTGAATATTTCCAAGGGTATTACATTCTCTGAGAACTGGGAAATGTGTTACTACTAGGTTTGGCTTCCCTTTTCTTTTACTCACTTGTTTCTTCTAGATATCTTTTATAGTACTTGTTTCTGTGTTTTAGTGCTTAAAAATATCTTACCTCTGTTCTTCATGCATCATGTTTTCTCTTCTTAGAAGAATCAGCATTGGAAATGAAAAACTGAAACCTGCTATAATGCATCAGTTTGTGCAAATATAAATGCATATCAGATAATCATTAGCATTTTTTAGTATTGGCTCATGCAACATACACAATGAAAAATGAAATACAGTATTGCATATATTTAGAGATTTAAGAACACATTTGAAAAACAGCTATTTGTGATAATACATGCAGTATATGAGTTGTAGATACTGGAGTGCATCTATAGAGTTCCTTGTTTTCGACCTGACATTGAAATTTCCAACTATAATATGCTGTCTTGTTGGACTCAATGTCAAATTTCCTTTGAAAACAATGGAAGCCACTCAGAAAAATGGTAGCAGAGAATAGGACTAGTAAGATATAGGGGGAGGAGGAGAGAAAGGGAACGTAAAAAGAATTAAGATTAATTATGTAAGATGTACCAGTTCTCTAAGATGGATGTAATCATTACACACTGTAAACATGTACTAATAAAAGTAAATTAAAAAGCTAACAAGATACTATAGAACCAACCACATTTGCTTCTGTGAATGAGCGAGAATGTAAATGCATTCTCAGTGAGTGTGCTTGTATGTATGTCAGCAGTAAGCTATCACTTGCATAATCTAAGATTGAAACTAGATGGTTGTAAAAGGAGCTACTGCCTCTCCTTGCTTGTCTGGCTGCTTTTGCAAATCTCCTGCCTAACAAGTAGCTCAGCTCCTTCTGATCAAATGATCTTAGAAATGGCTACCCTCCATTACACACTGTAATGATATCACCCTGGCGAAGCACTCTGAAACAACACACCCCTGTCTCTGGTAGCAGAGTTCTTCTGGCAAGTGCCCCAGAAGAGGCAAGCTCCAAAACAAGGCCATCTAAGAATTGGTACAGCTGTCCAGCAAAACCTGTTGGAACTCTATGAGTAAACCACCTAGCCTTGGGTCTTTGGATGGGAAAAGCAACTGAAAACAGTAAGTACCAGCCTGAAGTTGGGTGAAATGAAAAAGCTAGTCCTGTTCTATTGTATTTTAAGAGGTGGGAAGTAAATATATATGAAAAGAATATATATATATATATATATATATATATATATATATATATTCATGTTTATTTGTATATATTTAAATTGGTACAATGTATAATTGAGAGTTTAGAAAGTATAAGGCATTGTAGTCTAAATTGTTTATTTTGTAACCCCACGCAAGCCACGTAATTTCTATATTTTGTAAATTCCTCAGGTGGGAAATGGGGTTCGTACTCCCTTCTTCATGATATTGACATCAGGCTCAAATATGAGAAGGCTTAGAAGTGCTTTAGACTTTAGAAAGCTATATATTTTTAAATGAGCTGTTGATAATCAGATGTTTACTGGCTTCTAAATGATGTGCTTTGCAGTTAGACTGGTGCTGAAATTTCAGACATACTTTCTTGTCTCTAACCTGCCAAAAGTAGCCTTAAAAGTTTATGTAACATTAAGAAAAGCTTGCACGTAGGTGCGACAGCTGGGTAGAAGGCATAGTTTTATTTAATCTCCTCACACAGCGCCAACTGTAAACAAGATACTGTACTTGGTAACATAAAGGCATATAGTTAGGACTAAGAGGCTCTTACTCTCAAGAAGCTCATGATCTAAATAAGGTGGAAATGTGCATAATGACTGTGTACAATATGAGATAAGATGGTGGAAATGCTAAATTGGGCCCATCTAGTCCGTAACAGCCTTGCAGTTCCTTGTCTACCTGGTCTCAAAATGGCAGTGTGATTTCAGAGCTTGTTGGACATGGCTCATTCTCCTCCTGTGAAATGGCCTCTTTGGTATCACATGGAAATTCATATCTGAAAAATCTCTAGGAATTATCTAATGCCAATTGCTGCACAAATGCAAAGCAGTCCATAAGATTTCTTTCAATTCATAAGGCATTGTCCTTTTAGTGGGGGGGGTAGATTATTTTTCTCTTCTTGTGGTGTTTTTTAAGAACTCATCTTCATATAGGCTAACAATGCATGCAGGTTAAAGTGTGTCTGAGTGCCCACATAGGCTAGCTAGCCAAGCATGATTTGTTTCCCAGTCCAGTCAATACCTAATTGCTCAGGTAGCCATCTTAGAAATGTGCATTTTAAGATGCAAGGGAGGCCAGACAAAAGCAAGTAAGTACAATGCTGGGATGCTATTTTCCCACCATCAAAGTACAATTTAGTATGTACATCATTCGTCTAGTAAAAAGAGCAAGCCCATCCTCATATGCAAATAACAGCCCGATTTTGATGCCATTGTTTAGGGAAACATTAGCTGACTTTAAGGCTATGCATACCTAATACCTTGAAGTTTAAAGGCTGGCTTGAAAACTATAATTCTTGATGTATAGAGCTAAGTCTTGTTATAATGAATTCTCCACAAAAAAGAATTCCCAGATTCTAGAAATTGGTAAAATAAATTCTGTTTTACCATAAAATTATGACCAGTTTACTCTGCTTTTGAAATTCTGCAATCATCTTTCAAGTGTACTCACATCAATGTATTATTAAAAAGGCGTCATCTCATTAGTTTAAGGCTTCTTAAACCCTATTGATCATTTGTGTATAACAGAAACATCAAGAAGTTCACTTTGGAAATTAGCCATAGGCTATGTCTCAATCCTGTGTTAGATCCTCTTGTTTGATATGAAAAGAATATTAAATAATGTTGAAATGCTTACCAATTTGTGATAATAGTCCTGTATTGCTTGTGGATTTAGGTCTTTACCTCTGGGTTCACTATATTATCACTGTGCATCTGCCAACCTAAGCTTTTATTTTTGAAGAGAAGGAAGTATTACTTTGTTTTTCATTGACAAAATATGCAAATAAATACTCATTTAAAAGCCTGTGAATATAGCTCAGCCGCACAATGCCTGCCTGGCAAGCAGGAGGTCAGGAGTTCAATCCCTTGCACACACAAAAAAATTTAAATTCTGAAAGCAGACAGAATAATACAGACATGTGTTTGTTTTTATGAGTATCTCTGATGGTATCCTACCTGACAAAAATATTTGTTTCAATTGCTGTTGGCTTAATAAATGGCTTTGTAAACTGTAGGACCAGAATTTCTGGATTCTCATCTTTCACATACCTATCCAAACTACCTGTGGCAATAGAGGAACAATTGGTATTTTCAGCTGCAAACAAGTCAACCCATGCACCACAGTATGAATTTTGGTCATGTTAATTAGAGTATAGTTGATTACCTATCTTTACACTTGACTTCAGGATCCATGCACATTAGTGGCTTTCCTTTTTATCCTACTGAGATTCCGTATTTAGTTTGTCACTGCACTGATCAAAATAATATATTTTGGAGAAATGAGAGAATAATGACAATTGTTTATTATTCTTAATAATCTCATCTGCAGTCACCATACAGACATCCTGACAGTGATTTTTTTATCTAAAATACAGTGTAGTAAACCTTTGTGTCTAAAGGCAAGTCAGTGAAGAGTTCTGTGTGTGTGTGTGTGTGTGTGTGTGGGTGTGTGTGTGTGTGCGTGTGTGTGTTTATGTATTCACATGTGTACACTTGTGTTTGGAGCTGGAAGGAGAAAGAAAAATAAGAAAAAAAGAGGGAAAAAGCAAGTTAATCTGCCCTGGTACTCTGACAAGGGGGGAATTCCCTTACTTGTTTTGAAATAAGAGACTTATTTCAGATGATTTTGAATTGCCGTTACAGAATATTGGTAAACCACATTAAGTCTCAAAGGTTGGATCAAAAATACACACCATTCATAGAAACCATTTGAATTATTTCTGAAAACCTAGTAGCTAAATATAAAAAAACAATTATGAGCAAATATAAATTGTTACTGGTTGTCCATTAGTGTTAGCTCTATCTCTACTGTGCTAAGGGCTAATTTCTCAAAGTGAAACAAATGGCCTGTGTGCTACTCTAATGTGCTACTCAGTTTCAAATTTTCTTTCTGTTAAATTTTAAAGATAAACAATTTTTTATTGGTTTTCTGTAAAATAATGATACTTTGTACAATTCTTGAAATAGAACCTACAGTCATCCCAAACAAAATAGTCTCTTTCAAATTTTGGAAATAATGACATCATAGGCAGATTGAACCAGCCATCCATTAATAGTATTCTTTGTACAAAGCTATTTCAAAAGAGGACCTGGCATAGCAAATTGGTATTGTTTACAAATAAAACTCCCTTTTCTACATTTGTAGAAGTGTAGGAGACACTCTTCTCCAGAAGGGGACTTGGGAAACAAAATACATTGACATAAGACTTCTTACAGGTCCCTATACTTTTCTTTACATGTGCAGAAGTATACTTTGAAGCCCTTGCTTTGTAGGTATGTTAAAGGTAGCAGGAACCCCTGTACTATTCTTTGGCTACCAAATCAGAATTATCTGTAATGATTCGAAAGAAAAATGACTAGTTGTTGTGCCTTGTGAAGCATACTAAAGAATTAAATTAATATGAGGATAATTCAAGCAAAACCAAATCTGAAATACCTAGGTAATGAAAAAAAAAATGCGGTTCATGATCTTCCAATGTGGAACTGAATATGTGTTCCTTGTTCTCATTTCCTTCATCTCTGTAAAAGATTTGAAGGGAATTGAAACAGCTCCACTATGGTGGGAAGTAAAATGATCTGCTGTGTAAGGTAGGTTTTAGTAGATTATCTGTGATATGACCATAATGAAAAAAAATATATGTGTGTTCACTTTTAGAAATTAGCACTGAGCATGCATATATATATATATATATATATATATATGGTTGAAATTTTGGTTAAAGATTTGTAGAACAGAGCCAAAGAATATATTTTGAGTTTTGCATTCCAAGTAATCTTTCTTATCTAATTAAAATATGCCTGGTCAATAGCATCAGAGTAATCAGGCAACCTAAATAAAACAGGGCATCTACCTGCTTCTCTGGTTAGTGAATATAATTAGCAGTGAAAAAGGCCACTGTGTTATGAGTCACACCTGTTTATCAAGAACAAAGAAGCACAGTATTTTAAATTGGGTAGTTGCCCCAGAGCCCTGGCTGGCCCAGACTCTTTTTTGCCTTATTATGGAAGATCAGCTTTGTTTTAAAGAGATCTTGTCTATTCCTCCTGCCACCTCAAATTAAGCAACATGTCATCAGAAAATATATATCATCTAGAAAATAGTGGTTCTCTGTTCCTGAATGATACATTTTTCAGAAATCAGTATTATTATAAGTATTTATATTTGAATGCTCAGTTCCTTTCCAATAACCTTCAAATTTCAATTTTTAGAAAGCCAGATTTTGTATATCTGATATAATGTCCCCATATTTGGCCATTATCTTTGAAATCAGCAAAGTCAATCTGGTAGCAAATTCTTCTCAGTGGCAAAGTTAAAACCACACTCCTGTCCAGTATAAACTGACAGCACTGGTGAAGTCAGTTTTAAAAAGAAACTGAATTTATAAGAACAAAAAAAAAATCAAAGTGCAAAAGAGAATATAGACACACAAGCACTAGTTTCATATTCTTGTTAAAATATTTACTTAGTACAATTAGCATCTATTTATATACTTTAGCTGTGACATCAGAGTTGCTTTTCCTTTGTGTATGCTATAGTTTCACCTATATAAGAAAATATGAACCTTATTAAATAGTTGGTGGTGACAAAACATTTATAGCTTAGTACTTTTATTATAATGATTCCTGAAAAAAATGTGACTGCTCTTAATTAAGATAATGGAAGACATGACAAGGCAAAAGAAAAGCGATCTCCTGTCCAAATCCAACCAACCATTGTTAGTTGGTAACCATCTGTACAGAATAAGATATTACTTAACACTAACATATTCTTTGATAATTCTGGACTATATGTATTTGAGTAAATTTAGACCATACAAAAAGTTTTAAATTTTTTAGGTAGCATGAAGTAACTTAGAGTTTACTGCTTAAAATAATAAACAGGTTGTAACATCAAAAGGGCTAAAAGAATTATTTTGAATTATTTTTTATTTCAACAGTTAATGGGGATTCATTGCTTTTGTCATTGCTGTTGTATTCAGGTGTGCTTTTAATAAATGTTGTTAGAATAAACTTACATGCTAACTCATGTTTCGAGGCTTTATGTTCTTAAATTAGCACCAAGTTATACTTGATAAATTTACAAAGATTTCATTGTAAAGGAACTTGGTATTCCTTGTATTCAGATTAGGGATTCACTTGGAACGTATACTTAACACTCGACTTTGCTGGTAAGTGTCAGTGTATCATGGAAGGATTTGGTTTAGAATAGGAAAATATTTAGAAATGAGCATTTCCTTAAGAAGTCCATGCTTTTCTAGTTCACTTCACCCTCCCAGTGCAATCAAATGCAAACGTAGACTCCTAGGCACAATAAATTTAAGAGACTGGACTGGATCTTACAGCCCAGTTGCTTCAGTCAGCTCCCTGTTCTAAGACATAAAAGCCAGGAGTAAGGTTATGATACCTCCTCTCAATGTGTTCTCTCCTCTGGCTCTCCTCTTTATCAATAGTGACATTTAGCCTACTGTTTTCTTATACCTGCATTTTATAAATCAGAAATCAAAAGGATAAGAAGTGGATACTGAAAGAATCCTAATGTTAAAGTAGTTAACAAATCATGATTTGGGATCATTAAAAATCAAAAGCTAGTACTAGTGATATGGCTCAGTGGTAGAGCATTTGCCTAGCATGTATAAGACCCAGCATCTGATCCATAGTACCAACAAAAATAAAAAAAAAAAATCAACAGCCAAACTTATTTATTCCAAACCCTGAGGAGTTTGTTTCATTTGACCAACATGCTTACAGGATAGAACTTTCAAAATAAAAAATGATTCTTCTATAAGAGACTGTGACTGGATATCAGAAAACTGAGTTTCATTGTAAAAAAAAAAGCAAAAGAATTTATCTGTTTGTGTATACATGTTGAAAGGTCATTAATTATTGCTTTGATTTCCCTGTTTTGGAAATTGCATCATTTTTCTTTGACAAGTCAAATTCCCCCTCTCCAGAAGAGAAACCCTTCAAAATAATCAATGTAGAACCTGAGATAACAGGGGATCAATGCTGTTATGTAAGATGTTAGAATCCCCATATTTGTAAGATGTTAGAATCCCCTAAATCTGTTTTAGGACTCTCCTTCCTTAAGTCCTGTTTTCTCCTCTTCTTTAGGAGCTGTGAACTGAAAATGTCTGACGGTCTGGATAATGAAGAGAAACCCCCAGCTCCTCCACTGAGGATGAATAGTAACAACCGGGATTCTTCAGCACTCAACCATAGCTCCAAGCCACTTCCCATGGCCCCTGAAGAGAAGAATAAGAAAGCCAGGCTCCGCTCTATCTTCCCAGGAGGAGGGGATAAAAGTAAAGTATCAGTGGTCGGGCATTGAAAAAGGGTCTAGTTTATTCTATCTCTGTCACTTTCTTTCTTGTGCAGTTGTTTATTGACCACTGGCCATTCAGGGCCTGCCAGACCTTTACATCTCAATCCTTAGAGGATGTATTTTGTCAGAGGACCATGTTTAGATTGTCTTTCTGTGGGGCTGACAGAAAATATACTAATGATGTGTTTGCTTTTCACATAAAATTGAATTAATTGAGTTAAGTCACGGGAAATCATTGCAACAGTAGTCTTGAATATATAAACAGCGACTTTGTTTCTGATAACAGAGTAAAATTTATAGTAATTCTTTACTAATTATAAACTCATATTTTTAGAAATTGAACTATAGGTGGATTTACTTTGCATATGTGTGATTTTGAACTGAGTGTATAGGAGTCAGTACAAATTGCCACAGTGTTGTCAATCTGATTCTACTATGAGGAGGGAATAAACCAAATCTTGTTTTTCTTATTCTTCTACCTGTTGAACCCTATACAATCAGCCCCATGTGCACCAAGTATCACAACAATATCCTTTTCCTATACCATTTGGTACTTAAATACTGTATGTTAACACTCAGTGACACGTGGGAATGTGAATCTCTAGCAAGTAATTATCAGTTGTATTAATTAGCATAAAGATAAATCAGGCTTCTACAAATGTGACCACTAAAGTGTGAATGAAGTAAGTATAAAGGCACTAGAATCATAGAATGTCACCTAAGGGGAAAGAAAGGTGAAGTCTTCAGAAAAGGGTTATTCTTAACTTACTTTTTCAAGATAAAATAGGTGGCTTTGTTAATATGATATGATTTGTCATTTGGCTGAAATCCTGATTAGTGCCAAAATGTCCTCTTACACACTAGCAACATGATTTATCCCTTGTGACCTCAGGATGAAAAACGGAAATAATATTAAACTACTATGTCAAACATAAGCAAAAGAATACTGAAACAATTGGAATGCAAGGGACCTATGAATCTACAACAGGACTTTTTAAAACCATGTTTTCTGACACTGAGGTGGATCTGGAAAATGTTAGGAGCAAATTCAAGAATTGTCTTAAGGTGCTGGAGATTTAGCTCAGTGACACAGCGCCTGCATGGCAAGCATGTGGTCCTGAGTTCAATTCCTAGTACCAAAACAAAGAAAATGCATGCAAGAAAAAGAAAAAAATGTTTTAAGAATTTAAAGTGTCCCATGATTTAGAGACCAAGTGTTATATAACAGTGGTGCCAAAAAGGGAATCTGTGTTGTACCCACTGCAGCTGCAAAAAGTGATCAAAAAGCAATATTACGTACCTGCACAAATCTTTGATGCTGTTTATGATCACTGTGCTTCGGGAGCACTTGAGTAATCCTACTTGCTGTTTTGAAGAGCATGAGCCAACTGATGCTGTCGTGAGGTCAGCAAAAACAAAGAGGCTGACGTTTCTTTTTTGTGGCAATACTTCAGGTGAACTGATAGTGAAATCATTGCTGCTCAGTGGAGAACTATGTCCAGTATTTCTCAGGGGAAATCACCGAGCCAAGTTTCCAGTGTACTGGCATGCAAGCAGGATAACCTAAATGACTTTTCTCCTTAAGAGTTAATTTAAACAGTGCTGTCTTGTAGAAATTTCTGAGTAATTAAAACTTCAACTCAAAATCCTATTCATTCTTCAAAGTCCATTTAGTACTTCACAAGCATTTGCTAAGTGCATACCAGTGTAAACATTGCTTTTATAACTAGCCACATCTCAGATCCTTGCATCCTTAGATTAGTGTTTAATCTAGCCTTCAAGGAGTAAACATAATTTTATTGCTTAAAATATCACACAAGTTGCTCTGTCTTGAGATCCTAGTGTATAGGATTGTTACATCATCACTAATCCTGTATTCTTAATAAAATGTACATGTGATAATTTAACAGAGCCTGCCATTACTGCAACCTGGGAGAGGGCTTGGCTAGAGATGGTAAAATGTCTTCCCATGATCCCTCCCAAAGATAAATCACCTTTGCTCAAGAAGAACCTCTGGATGAGGGTGAACAGCAACACAGAAACAATTATGGGCTGAAGTTGAATCCAAACCTGCTCACACAAATTCAGTTGATGTGATATTGCCATAGGGTGATTTTTGGGCAGTGTCTAGTCTTACAGATGTGATTATTGTCATCAGCAAGAAATTAATTAGGAAGTTTAGGGACTGGAGACAAGTATAAATAATAGGAGTAAGTGGGGGTTTTTTAGGGCAAAATTAGGCCTGCCCAGGAAAGTTAGAAAAATTGGTACCTATACATTTCAAATCTTACCTGTATAAAGTATGAATGATTTAGCAGAATTATGTAAAGACTTATAATAATGATGCCATCAAAAACAATCACATTGGACAGAGACCATCTTTAACAGAACTTAAATTATCAAGTCTCATTTAAAACCATTGCCAGACAGCTGATGGTCTGCCTTCAGACAAAGCTTGAATGATTTCATTGAACTATATACAGAAGTACTAGGTGCCCTCAAAAAATACTTGAGAAGACAAAAGGCATCTTCAGAAGTTTCAAAGTGATTAAGTAGTATCACTGAAGTTCACTTACTGAGTAGAGCTAAAGCCATTAGCAAGATGTTACAACTTCAGAATTGGATTTCAGAGACTCAGAGCATCTATAGACTTCTGCGATTCAAATTAACAATTCATCTCTGTTTATTGCTTCTTTGTTACCCTAATTTTCCAGTGCCATAATGAGTGATAGGTACATCCTCATCACCTGTGGGAATCATCTCATGATCTAAATGGAAACTGTGTATAGTCTATCATTTTTAAAAATAATTTAAAATGTATACTCTAGTTCTTTTTATGCAATTTACTGTTATCATTTCATGTAAAATATTTGTAAGTGTTGGCAAAAGTTCACTGTGACATTTCTTCTGCCCAGTTTTTTCTCCTAAAACTATGATTTCCATAGCTATGTTAAGGTTTGTCCAGGAACCTGAGCTTCATAGAGGTATTACTATTTTTTGTGTTCCTACCTGCCAGTGACTGTTTGCGTTGCACTACTGTCAGTCTTGAGTTAATGAAAACAGGACGAGACTTGAGTTTTAGAGATCTGGGTTCATGTCCAGCTTTCCCACTAATGAATGTGCCTTTGGGCCAGTCAGTTAGCTTCTCTAAGCTTCAGTTTTATTAGGTGTTAAACAAGAATAGTACTTGACAATGTGCCTCACAAGGTATTTGAGATAATCAAATAAAGTTATAAATTCCAGCATGTTTCTAAAAGTAAAATTAATTATAAAACATAATAAGATGCTTATAATTTCAAAACCCAAAAGAAACTGCATTGATATTTTCCCACATAATCCTTCTTTTCATAATATAGAAATTGTTCATCACTCTGAAAGGCTTCAAAAATAAAATAAGCATATAGAAAATAATAATAAAAACCACCATAATCACAAACCTCAGAAACAATATTAGCATTATGTTGGATTTTTCTTGAGTCTTTCTACAGACATATATACAAATATATTTATTTACATAAATAGAATCATAATACACAGCTTTGTATTCTACTTGTCAATAACATTTTATCATGAATATTTTCCTACATTAAAAGTCCATAAATATCATTTTTGATGGTATATAATATTTTGTTACATAGTGGCATCATGGTTTATTTAACCATTTCGTTTTTGGATGTTCATGGTACTTTTCTAATTTTTGTCAATATAAATAATATCACAATGTCTATTTCATTACTTAAAATACGTGATTTGCTGACAGAATTTTTAAAGACATTTTCATATTTCTTCTTTACATGGAGAAATTACCATCTTTTGTTGTTCTTTTTAAAAGAATTTTCTTTAATGGGTATGTGTCATTGACCAAATGGAACTTTAAGAGAGAAATAAAAGAAAAATAAATAGTAGATGTATTTTCAAGATTGAGGATCTATTTTTGTTGAAGATAGTTCCAGGAGCTAAATCAAGGTGTTAAAGCAATTTACTGGCACCATTTTATAAAACTTTGCTATAGAAAAATTTTTAGGATTTTGATCTGGAAAAAAATAATCTGAACAAGTGCTTTGATTGGGTTTTATGGGCCCTCTGAAGTGTGAAACTGATCGTGTTTCTCGTGTTGAGTACTAGAAGAAAGCTTGGAAACTAATTGTGCGTTCTATGCATAGTACTTGGTATGGAACTCTATGGTATGTATGCACTTTGTTTTAGCTGTGTTCCGGGGTCCATTTTGTGTTCCTATCTTTATTTTATGTTTTTCTTTTTTCCTTTTATTTTCTTATCTACTTTGAATTTATTCTATCTTGTTGTATTTTGTGTTTTCTGGAAAGCCACTTAACATCCATTTTGGAACAAGATGGGGAATAAATGCATGAATAAATAAATACATTAATAAATAAACCAATAAGCAAAAGACAATGTAGCAAATGAATGCAAGCAATACTCTAAATCATGCGATAGTGCTCCCCAAAATAGCAAATGTTAAGGACTAAAAGCTTGGAAGTACATATGAGAAAGAAGCAGCTGAGGCTGCATTTTGAGATGATATTTTCAGTGTGATGTCAAGGTCTCCTGAAGTGTGCTAATGTGTCTTGTATCTTGTGCTGCTATTGAGATTATGCTTGTTTTGGAGGACATGCAAGTGCTGTGTGAAGGGCTATGTCTATAGAATGTACAGAGTGTGTGCACTGTGTAGTGGGGAATACCCAGAGACTTGGGAGTTGAGGAATGATGTGGTAGTTCCTATTGGAGGAATAGGAGGGTGTATTTTATATAAGTCAAACCAATACAAACTGAGTGATCAAATAACTATTGTCAAGCTGCATATCAGGCATTGTACACGTACTGATCTTAATCTCTATAGTTAAGCAATATTATCCATTTTTTAAAAATATGTGAAGCATCATAAGCTGAAAGCATTTAAATAGCCTAGGTCTAAGTAGCAGGAACTCTCCCATTCCTCACTGCTTCCAAACCCTAACATTG